ATCTATCTATCTATCTATCTATCTATCTATCTATCTATCTATCTATCTATTTATCTGTCTATCTATCTATCTATCTATCCGTCTGTCTATTTATCTGTCTATCTATCTATCTATCTATCTATCTATCTATCTATCTATCTATCTATCCATCTATCCATCCATCCATCCATCCATCCATCCATCCATCCATCCATCCATCCATCCATCCATCTATCTATGGTTCTGTCTCCCTCTCTCCTTACTTCAATATTTATGAGCCATCCACTGCCTCAGTGGGAAATTGATTAAAATATTTTGGTATATTATTATATGTAGATTCTGTTACCGTGAAAGAATGATCGATAGCTTTCATAAAACACGTCCTATTCTAAACCGAAATTCTTGACGACCGAAAGTTGGCTCTTTTCTCCAACGCTCAATGACCGTTTCTAAGTTATCTGATGCGTGAGTTCGATATCATGATACGCAAATAGCCGAGCAACTTATCAGCGAAAGGGGTGATGTATGACAGATAGCTGTGGCTACATGCGAACTGCTGTACTTTAACGTACTGTCAAGAGTATTATAATAACAATAAGATAATAATAAGGTTGTTATCTCACTCTTGGTACTATGCATCCGGTGCATCTGCTCTGTGTGTTGCTGTGTGCAGCTAGTCTTGCCGTGCAGGAAATAAATAGTTATTTTCGTACTTAAACTTCGATCTTTCATTTCTTATATGGGTTACTGCGCTATCATTGGTATTATATGGTCAAACCAGCCGTCTTATTGCTATTGCAGTACGCATACTTTTATCAACAGGTGGCAGCACCAGTATGGGCACTGGCTAAGTATGGACTGTGACCATAGAAATAATATAGGTAGACTATATAGGTGTATAAGGTGTGTGATATAGGTGACTCTATATATTTCTATGACTGTGACCGAAATAATAAAATAAATGTGTGTGAATGGAGCGTATCATTACGTAATATATATTTATCTGCCATATATGCTGTATATTGTATACATGGCATAATGTGCAATTAAATAAAGACAATAATTGCACAATATCACTTGTTACATCCAAATAAATCTCTAAGATGACTCTAGATTTTAGGTGTCATCATATCCATATTCAATATATCAATTATTACCTATATGATATTATTAGCTTTTTAATATTTCGAACATAGTTCCATATTAAATATTAGCGAGAAATAATGAGGAGCTTACTATGAAAACTTTGTAAGTCTAACCATGTCATTGTTTACACTAATCTCTTGCACTATATAGGTATTACATGTATTGCATTTGGTTATTTGTGTCCATAGGTTTGCTAAACAAGGACCTGAGACAGTATCTGAGCATAAGTTTTCCGAAAGGATGTATGGACCATGATCAACAGCAGACCATAAGGGAAAATGTCTACTTGCGGACCGTACCATGTAAGTTTAAACTTTCACTATAAATAATGTCCAGCATTATCTGTCACCCGTCGGTGTCATGTGTCTTTGCGTAGAAGCTGCGTCACAGCTATAAACACGTCACACTGATTCACAGTGATACACATATATTACTCACACAGGGTGCGCAATTAATGTGAGTCGGGAGTCAAATACTCCCTGATTTACTGTCGGGCTCCCTGATTTGACATATTCAGGAGTCCGTGTGACTCCCTGAAAATTCTGCTATACTAACTAGTTCGTTCCAGAGCACGGCCACGCGGAATTGCCGTATTTTTTCAGCAAATTTTTAATTTTGAACTTCAGACTAAGGACTCTCTCATTTTGCTGCGGACTCCCTTTTTTTGAGGGCAGGGAGTCCGTTGGACTCCCTTGTTCAAAAGTTCAAAAGATACCCCTGTTCACAGTATCATTAGTCATCCAGCTAGGTGTGACCAACTGTTTACCCGTGTCTTAATATAACGTATACGTATATTTAACCTTTTACAGTTTTGAATGTGGTTCCTAGCAGTAGAAATCCTTCCAGTATTCCTGGTAGACCTGGGTATGATGCATTGTGATATATATATATGATCAAATTTCTGTTTTTTGTTCTTTTATTTTAATAATTCTATTTATCTTTCTAACTGATTTACTACGTGAGTTACTGATTAGCCCTACTTTGCGTTGCACAGCTACTCCCACCATTCATCTATGTGTGAGTGTGCTGTAACTAATGCTATTGGAATGAGCCCGTGGGCGGAGCTGTAAGCTGAACACACGCAGCTGTGCCGAGGAGGTGGCAGAGCTGGCACACTCACTAGCTCCTGTTATTGTTGTCGCCGCCCTTTAGCATTGAGAGAAAATTACCGCCGACAGGAAGTGTAGGAAGTACAGGATGCAGTGAATGCTGCTACGCATAATGCTCTGTGCCGATCGCGTGTGCAGATCTCGCACACGTACCATGATGAGTTGCATAGACTCTGCTTAGACTACTCTAATATGCTTTACTGCGAGATACTAGCCTTCGCATCTCTCCTGTGCTGCCCTTCTTACTAATTCAATTACTCTCTCACTTACATTCCGTATTCTCTATCCCATTTACTACTTCGCTCCCACTTTACCTATCTTTCCCCTTCTCTCTATCTCTGTCTCCCATCCCTCCCTCAACCTATCCCTCCCCCTAGTTGTCTCAGTCTCTATATCCCTCTCTGTTATTCCTCTCGCCTACGTCCCCCTCTCCCTCTCACCTCTAGCTGTTATATCCTCGTCTTCCCTGTTTTTCTATCGAACTGCCTCACTGCTTAACTACGCTCTCCCCCATTGTCCCTTCTTACTTACTGTTTCACACAAGACCCGTAACTTTCTTGCCTCGTGCCTCGTTCCGTTATTCCTAAATCGCCATTCCTTCCGAGTCCATCATGGATTTATACATTTTTAAAGTGTAATCACCACTTATTCAAGGTTCAATGTGTACAGTAGCATGACCATGCCACTCTCATAATTTCTGGCAACTAGTGGCAACCAGTGGAATAATAGTGGCAACTAGACATAATAGTGGCAACTAGACTGCAACCAGAAGTGCAGGTAGGGAGTAACAAACTCAAGGTGTCAATCATGTACACGCGTTGCAACACATTCATGTGTATAATTAGGAATGAAAAGACCGAATAATTATAAACAGTTTTATAAATTTATGTTTATATACAACCATTTGTTTTTATTCACTCCTGTTATAATGAATGCCGTATTAAAAGTGTTAATCTTCTTTTATTCATGATCAATGATCCGTCTCTTCCTTTTTGCGATTCGATTTGGACTATAACGCAGTATAATTCTGGAAAGATAATCCGACTGCTATGATTAGCTTGTGTATCGGGCATGGTTTTGTAACTGATGTCATTGATTATCTGATTGGAATCCGGTGTGTAACACCAGGATATCAGATAATGGTGTTTAAATGGTATCGCTAAAATGTTTTCCCGAGCACTTGCCCAATTAGGAATTCGTTTCGACGATTCACAGCGATCAGAGATGAGTCATGATGTATTGCTGTTTGACGTTTTATCCACACAATGAAGCGGATGCACGCGCTATGCGTGTTGAACATGTTAGATGAGAATAGACAAATAGAGACAAGAGCTGTCCACAAAGACCTACTGTGAAACCCGATTGTTTAACAGTGTGAATGGTTAAACGTCATAGATTAAATGATTGTTCTAGACTGGGTTCTCTATAGTGAGGCAATGCACTGACGATACAGTAATTTTACTAGAAACGACGAACCGGGCACCGGCATAGTTTGTACTTTTTAATAGTGGTTATGTTAGTGTGTAATAGATGACTTGACGTTTCTTCTATTAATTTTATACGAGTTTCGCTATTGCTACATTAGTCATTACTGCGATGGTTATATAACATTCGAGACCACATTTGATTAGCAGAGCGTCTGTTGGTTCGTCTTCACCAACCAGCTAATGAAAGAGGTCTAGCTGCTGACAGCGACCAGTACATCGCGCCGCACGGAGTCTGTTTGGCGGGTGCTGTCATGCTTCCAGACCCCCATAATGATGTATTGTTGTAGTGTAGGCGCGGATAAGCCCGCGCAATTGTCCAGTCCCCGCTACGCTCCCTGATCATACCTGTGTTGGGCCACCTGCATTCTACCGCAGGTAGACAAGGGGATGGAATGACGCAGTGGGAAAAGTGGTCGTTTTTACGGCGTACTGTCGCACCGCGCTGTTATTGGTGGCTGACGTATCTTTTGCGTGTATATTTGAATCAGATATATATACCTTCCAAGTACGTTAACAGGTGAATGTGCGACTCCGGTTTCGCTACTCAATTCGATTCACTCTTTTCGACCCCCTCCCCCTTCCCCCGCCATCATTGGCATCTTCCAAAAGTGTCGTACAGCCGCTAACATGCAACTTGCTGGGTCGGCGGACAGCGCCTGCAACCTTCGTGAACCGACCGGAGGCGAACACATAGCGTTACACTGCTCCCACGGCGCGCTGGGACTCCTCCTCTAGTGTGTACACAGCAAACTGGCTCTTTTGGTTTACTCGGATCAGAGTCGCGGCGAGGGGCACAGTAGTGCACACACGCGCGCACGCAGACAGACGAGATTGTACGTGCGACATAGACGTGCCGTGACTGCGCGCGTCACACGTCGTCGGCTGTGAGTGTTGGATCGGACGCAGCGACGTCGCCGTGTCTCCGCACTGTTGTTGTCATTCTCAGGCTTGAGACAAGGCGACAGTGTGTGTGTGTGTTAGTGTGCTTGTGGTGCAGGGAGGCCGCCGCGTCTGTACACCCGCGCGCCGCGCCGCACCGCGCCGCACCGCGCGTGGACATACTCGTGATCGCAGCGATCCGGGAGAGATCTGTCGATAGCAGGGTAAGACGTAATGCCGATCTTCGCATTCAAATCATAACGATGTCAGTATTTCGCGTGTTCTCGTTGCTGATATGAGCCAGCGGCCTGCAGTCTTATTTGATCGCACCAGGACGTGAGTAATATGTTATAACTTACCTGCGTTAAGCCAAGTACAACATACCTGTAAAACTTATACCTGTATAAACATATACCTGTATACCTTAAGCCAAGTAATATAAGTATTATAAGTTATATCAAGAGCAGATAAAGAAGTTATATGAGTATATATAAGTTACGATACAGTTATCCTATGATAACACCGCATAAAAAACAATGGGCACAATTTATAGGCCTAGCCAGCGGCCTGCAGTCTTATTTGGTCGCACCATGGCGTGAGGTGTACGCACGAGTACGCGTAATATCAGGAGTAAGATAATATAGGATCCTATATTATCTTACTCCTGGTAATATCCGTGCAATTTCTGGCGAATGTTGGGTGCTTGATTCAGAGTGATTGGCCTACAAACGCTATACCTACATACAAGTTACCCACGTACAACTTACTGTTCCCGTATATAAGGGCCCCGTGTATAAGCATCAACATACCTAGTATACTCATAATATTGTTTATATGTTTACGGTATAACCCTCTATATAACCTTGTGTCATTTCGCTGCGTGTAAACCGTTGAACACGGCTTCGGACGTAGTCGTCATTTCTACGTTTCAATACACTGTTTGGATAGTAAGCTGTGACGTACAGCCGCCGTAAGGGCCCAAGGGGTCATATGAATATTACGCTCAATACACTTTTAGGACGATAGATGTCGTTAGTAAGATTGTCAGTTGCTTGGGGAATCTGCGCGCTGGTGTCACGTGTCGTTGAACGTCTTGTATATTGTATCTTGGTTCCCTCTCTTGGATTTCACAAGGCACTCGATTCTTCGAATGTGCGGGGGTTATCTAAAGAAAAAGGAGATTAGGACCGCCTCCAGTTTAATGTTTCGAATCATCAAAATTTTCCGTACATAATCTACCGCTGGTATCAATAACCCGGGGTTGTCCCATCTCCAGTCATCTATTTGTTCACCGTCCTTATCCATATTGTATTGTATCTTATTCCACGTCGCAGCGGGCGGCCGTGCTATAGAGGCAAATACAGATGGAAACGCGTGGTCGATGATTGTCGAGGAAGGTTGCCGACGAATATTGTTGTTACGGGTCACTATCATTACTCTTAATATTAGCTTTCGCTTTCTTTCCCTGCCTCTCTCTTCCACCTATTTCCACCCCCTCTCTCTTTCTCTTTCTCCCTCCCCCCTCTCTCTCTTTCTGCCGTCCCCGCCATTTCTTCCATCAGACCCATTCTCTGCAATGTTCATTATGACTACATAATGAAAATGAAATGTAAAACCTCTATATTAGCGGTCGGACGGTATGTCCTGCTCGACGACCAAGCTACACATAAGAGATTGGAATTCCTCTGTTGAATTACAAAAAAAACAAAACTGATTACAGCCACCATGAAACCAGTAGGTTTACAGGATCCAGTGCTACGCCGAATATCAACGTAATTTGTAGCGACTGCGCGTTGAGATACAGATGCGCTTTGTAGTCGACAACGTAGTTGAAGCAAGCACTAGATGAGAGTAAGAGTGAGGGGGTAACAGATCGCGCAGACTGCACCTGTTATAAAACAAGACTCCTCTATCTTTTTGCCGTCGCGGAAAAGCGCCTGCGCCCACTGTGCGCGCGATTTACAATGCAGCCTACTTGTATACGTAGCCGCCAAGGGGCGGCACACTTTGTTAATTAGGCAGCGGTGTCGATGGCCAAGGGCTGAATATTTCATGTTTGTTTCCGCTGAGTGACCCGGTGCGCTGCGTAGCAGTAGTGACCTGCTTATTCGTCGCGCGGTGTCGTAGGACGGGCGGCGCGTCGTTACGTCGTCGGCTCGTGTACGGGAGCTGTATATGGTGTGGACGGTTGTACTGCTAGCTAGCTGTGGTTGACATTCGCGGTCACAGTGTGAGTTAACGTCGATGCCTTGCAGTAGTAGTCGTAGCTGTAAGTGTACATACTGTGTGGTCTGCGCAGTCACGGAATGATCAATGATTGAGAAGCTGCGGATTGGCACTGATCAACAATCGCTGCGGAGTGAAGTGAAATCCGAGCAGCCATGAATGGACAGGTCGTTTGGCATGCAGTGCAGACGCAGGTCTATATGTTTAGCCGCTAAGGCGTGGACACCGAACCACTTGGCACTCGTTTTGCAGACCACTGCTACTCGCGTGTTATACAAATAGCCCCCACTCTCTCGACACAGGAGTCCGGCATTTGTACACAGTGCACACCTGGTGCAGTTATCCTCTATCAGACCCTCTCATAATCCGCCACCAGCTGTAATCCAGCGCTGGAAGAGTTGGACGCTACCCGAATCGATGCTAGCGTAGATAAGACAAGATGCTGTGAAGTGAAGGGCTTTATGACCATTGAAAATACCGGTAGCACTGAAAAGGAAAGACATCACACTGTCTAGCTAGGTAGGTAGAGAAGGCAAGACACGCACACGCCCGCATGCATGCACACACACACATACACGAGACGGACAGACAGGCAGGTAGACAGACATAGAGAAAGAGAGAGTGAGGGGAGAGAAAACGCGCAGACAGACAGAGTGATAGGAGGGGAGCTACAGAATGAGATGTAAGAGAGAGAGAGAGGGAGAGAGAGAGAGAGAGAGAGAGAGAGAGAGAGAGAGAGAGAGAGAGATGTGAGGATGAAATTTGAACAAACAATGAAACGAAATGTTATCGGCTATGGTTGGCCGCCGTACTCAGAAATAATTAATTCGTTTTACCACGGGGTTGAAATAAGTTAACTGCGGTGAAATTATTGCCCTTTTACCCAATCAGGGGCCCTGTTACATTGTTGTTCTTTCAACCAGTTACGCCATCGCCCTTCAGCACTTGCTCATCTCTTGACTGCAGTATTTTACACACAGACCCACGATGCGGAGGAGGCGGCGGCGGCGGCGGCGGCGGCGCGCATATGCATGCACCTGTATGGTCGCAAAGAGTCACGGCAACGCTCGCCTGTCAAACAGAGGGTGTTATTGTGCCGTGCCGATCCCATAGTCCGCTAGCTTGCGCTCGATATACAGCATGTGCACAGCGACGTGTTTGTGGGAGGGGTGTCTCTCTGTGTAACTGTACCGTGCGTGCGTGCGCGTGCGGACTGCTCTACTTACGCCATTGGCGTATGCCTATCCGTAGCATGTCGGCGTTGTTGTCGCTTTCTCGCTTGATTTTACTTGACTAGTTTGAAATCGGCTGCGTGTGAAAGTTTGCGTCGGTGTGTTGCCATGTGAACTGCTAAAAACGGCAAAGAGCGCCTGCGCTGGCTTGTAGCGATTATTCATATTCGTCGTCGCTATGGTGACACTCGCAGACTCCCGAGAGCTCGCGCCACGTGTCAGGTACATAGCGCAGCTGTGAATCATGCTTTTACTCTGGCAAAACATTTTCAGCGCAATTTTTCAGGGCAACGGTAGTAATCTTGGCTGGTTCAGAAGTACCGCATTGTTGGCCTGCAGTATGCTGGCCCTGAGCGGTTTTGCAGGCTCACGTGTGGCCGGGGTAGATTTTCCTGCTAGGTGAAGCATAAACTGCGTGCAGTTTGTAATTACTGCCGTACGCACCACGAGTTGCGATCTTGTTCGTTCAACTTCACCAGTCGTCACACTTAGAAGTGGTTTGTCATCACTCTGCCATGAACATGCATGTACAGCAACCAAACGACAAACACTTGTACGCACGCACGCACGCACGCACGCACACACACGCGCGCGCACGCACGTACATGTACAAATTAACAAATTCATACATAACGTACTTGTCCCTAATCAAGCAGCAAGCATTCAACTTTGCAGCTACCCAAGACATTGCCCCCCTATGTACCTACGCACACAGATACCTAGATACCTAGATACCAATTGGATGCTCAATACTTTTAATACACGGTATTCATGATAACTTAACTGGCGCAATTTCACAACAGTTCTGTATATCCAGAAGCTTTTACTACATAGAATCGTTAGAACCGTTTTTGTCTGAATATTGTTTGTTGTTTGTTTCTCTGTTACGAATCTATCCGTAGAATCAAGTAATATGTGGCTAAATTTGCTCTAAAACTTTTGTTTCTTCGCGTTTTTTACCGAGCAACGCCGGGTACCCGGCTAGTAGGGAAATATCGAAACGATTTCTGGATTTTAGATGTGGTTTATGTAGTGGATATATAGGGACATGGATAACGTATAATAATGGCTACTGTTTCTGGCATAGATATATGTGTACGGTTCGGTATGGCAGCAGGCATGCATTGAATTTACGTGTTTTATGTGTTGTGACTGTACCAGGAATGATGTCAAGAATTGTTACCGTAAAGTACTAAAACGATAATTTTTGGTGATAACCTTCAGTTTTATGTGACTTCCGTTGATTCAGCACTAAAGTGACATGTCAACAATTAAATTTTTATTACATACAGTTATATTTGACTAGTACATCAGTATAAATACTATAATTTGGTCTCTATTGATTGAAGGATGGCCGGAAATATATACCTGGGCTTTTATTGATAATAACTGAGATTGAAGACTGAAAGCTTCTCTTTTACATGACGTAGTCAACTGTAACATTTCTCTTGGTTTCAAAGCGGAAATGAATTTTAACGGCTAAAATTTTGTGTGATATAAATTAACTGTTAAAAGGGACATTTTTATCATTTAAATGCCTGGATGGGTGAAAGTTAGCAGGATGTATCATTGCAAGAACATGTATGGGTTCGTTGTTCATTTCTCTTTCACGAATACATTTCCCAATCAAAATAATCAATAGCTACCTGCCATATACTTATGTCATAACTTAAAACCAGTTTTAAAATAAATTGATATCTTTCCTATGGATTTCCCATTAAAACAAAACTCACTCAACATAAAATTTTCGATGTTGTGTAAAAGTTCCAGTGTTGGTTAGAAGACTGATTATCTTTTGAGTAAACTCAACCATGTGTTCAATTCTCACACATGGATGATGACAGTATATACGTCTGCTATTATGATTGTAATGCCACCATACAGCCGCAGCTGTTATTTTCGATACCTCAAGCAATGACATGTTGATTTTGCTGTTCAGAATTAAATAAACAAAACATTAGTTACAGTCTGATTAACTAGTTCCTGTTGATTAAACAATAACGTGCTCATTTAATTCATTTTCATCAAACAATAAATGGTTTGTTTGTACATCATTAAATTTTTGCTAATTGCAATAACACAATAACTTCTTGCTTCGGGTACATAAACATTAACATTTTGGTTTAGGTGCATTGCGTTAATTGTGTCTGTTTTTTATATTCAGGCACAACTAGACCACCAAGGCCAGAGGAGACACATGGCCAAGACTACATCTTTCTGTCTGTTGATGAGTTTATGGCCCTGGAGAAATCTGGCAACCTCTTAGAAAGTGGCATTTACGACGGTACTTAACCTACTTGGTAGCTGTTTTCTTGGCTGATATAATTTTGCTTGCTAAGCGTTGCTATAATGGCAACTCAATCGAGCACTATTGCTGTCTAAGCCGTACGTGTAATTAATGTGATGTGATAGGTAAACCTCGCAGTGGTACTTGTGTGTGTGTGTGTGTGTGTGTGTGAAATTGGGCTATTTATTCTTGATGATCACCCCATACCTTACTGCGCTACTCTTCAATGCTTCCATCTAGAGTTGTTGTCAACCGAGCAAAATCAATTCAAAACCGGTATGTAGAACTGTTAGCAGGATATTATAATTTGGTGCAATTTGATGGAATTGAGAGTTAGAGAGTTTTTTAATGAGAATTTTGTGTTCCATTTTGCTAACCAGGGTATACTTGCTGGGCTGGTAGCAGATTATTACTTATACACAGTGCAACCATGAATTACGTCTTCACACGTGTTATCATCTTGGCAATATGATTTCATTTTAAATTTTAATCTCACTTGTGTAAACAACTTGTATGAATAATTATTTTTGTAATATTATATATTATTACTATGCATGGCATCACAACAACTCTCTGATCAGGTCACAAATTCGCACCCGCCTGTGCTGATGTGACCATCAATGACCTCACATGTGCCTTTGTTCACACCACAATTGACGAACTCACAGAGTTGTCATTCACTCACACACACACCTGTACTAGTTAACATCGCGATAAAGGAAACGTAGTCATGTCTTGCCATCAAAATGCACTGCGCATTACCTGTCCTTTCCTGGTGACCTCAACAGGGTATCACACCTTGTTGGTGATGGCTTCTCACGTGCCTTGGTAACATAGTCAAGTGTAAACATACTAACTGGTCTTCGATTTCAGGGAATTTCTATGCAACTTGGTTTTCTAACAGAACCCATCAGTTATGTCTCCAGCTCCTTCACAAGTACCCCCATGTCATTAGCCACGCAGAAACACGGTGCTACGTGATGCGTGTTCGACGAAATGTCACACAGCATGTTCCGCAAATAGTTTCATTGCATGTTCCACAAACAATCACTTGACACGTTCCGTGAACGGCCACACGACATGTTTTATGATTGGACACACATCATGCTCCATGAGTGGTCACGCAGCATGTTCCACGAAAGGTCGCATACGTTCCACAAATGGTTTCATTGCATGTTCTTCAATGGATTGCATTGCATGTTTCTCAAACAGTCACGTGTCATGCTCCATGAACAGTCGCGTAGCTGGCTCGACGAAGGCTTTGCTGGGTGGGGACGAACGCATGGCTGATACTTTCTACGGTTCTTACTTTCAAGGTAACTACTATGGCACTCCGAGGCCACCCCGTGAGCCGCTAAGCATCGTTCCCAACACAGCTTCCTCTGTCGCTAAGCATAGCACGCCGTCGACTGACATAATCCTACCGGGGAAAACCCCGTCCAGCAAAGGGAAGCGCCAGCGAAACCGCTCCAGTGTAGAGGCGATAAAGTACGGGCAGGAAGCAGTGCCCTCTGGTGCCAGCATTGAAATGGCCGGTCAGCCTGGCGGTAGCAACAGCCCTGATTGGCCGTCGGAGGAAGAATTGGGAGAGTTGCCGAGTAACTGGGAGAGATCCTACACGGAGACTGGGGAAGTGTACTTCATAGAGTAAGTGTTGTATCTTGAGACAACGCGAGCAGAATCGCGCCTGCAGAAAGACCATACATTTTCTTGTTGTTTCCACTAGGCTTGGCAGTGGCAATACACAGGCTGCTATCTTAACAGTGTGTCGCATCGAGGCATTTATTTCGAATCTTTAATATTTTGTACGGACAGCTAGTTTTGTTGTTTTGCTTGTGAAAGTCTCATTAAGTTTCCTTAAGTGCTCACGTGGGAAGTAGTGTTACTTGCAGTGCATTAATGCTCTCATTGCTCTATTTTCGTTTGTCGTGTGTGTTGATTCCTTGTCATTGGTCTGCATAGCCACAACACAGGTACAACACACTGGCTGGACCCACGCCATGCTAAGATGAGAAAGAAGCCAGAGGAGTGTGATGACCAAGGTGTGTACGTGCAGTCACTAGGTAACAACAACACATTAGTAATTCTAAGGTTACTGCTATAATTTAGACTGTGCTAACAATGTGGGCTAATGGTTCCTAAGGTCATATAACTTACTGCACTGCACAGCTGTAAAAAATTATCTGCACAACATTAAGAGAGGTGAAAGTTTTTAGTCAGGTGTGACAGTTTCTTGTGCACCAGTGGCACGGTAGACTGTAATTTCAGAGTCTTGACACTCAAGTATTGGAACAGTAGACTGTCATTCGTGGCAGTTGTGTAGTGTTTGGCAGCACTAGCTGGGTTCGTGGGCTCCAGGGTTCGTAGCGGGTCTGCCAAAGTTTTATAAGTACATATTTTGCCAAAAATAAAATAAGGGCCCTTATTAGTACTTATTTTTGGTGGAATCTTAGAAAAGCACTTACTAGTCCTTATTTTTTGCCAAAGAACCGTTTTTCAAAATTTTCTGTGTTGAATTTCTGTGTTCAATTGTGTAAATAAATATTATTAGTGTACTTTAATAGTCGGTGATCTATCAGAAATCGCGTAAAAAAGTCTTATTTTGGCCTCCAGAAAGGGTCTTATAAGTCCTTATTTCAACATGTGACTTACTACTATGAACCCTGGGCTCGCGTTCCCACGTGTATTAGGCCTGGCGAGGATAATAGCAGTGAATGCGCGCACACGGATCTGCGTCCGCTTATCTATCGCGCTTCGGCAACGAACTCGTTTCTTTGCGTAATTTTTTTTCGCAGAATTTTCCCGTCGGTGATTTTCCGCGTGAACGGGTGGGACGCTATTAGCGCGGCTATTTCACATATGTGTCTGCGATGCTGGCTCAGCATAATTAAGTATCCAAGCGTCACACCCACTGAGTTGTCGAAAGGGTTTGAGAGAGAGAATGAGAGAGGGAAAAAGAGAGAGAGAGATAAAGAAGGGATAGAGAGAGAGAGATAAAGAAGGGATAGAGAGAGAGAGAGAGAGAACGCGTGAGCGAGCGAGAGAGAGAGCGCGCGCGAGTGAAAGAAAGAGAGAGAGAGAGAGAGAGAGAGAGAGAGGTTGATGTGACTCACTCCCATATTGCAGTGCGAGTTTATTGGATGTTTGCCGATGATACCTAGCGCTTTGTTGGGCGGCAGCGTTCACAATATGCTGCAATCTGGGTTTGGAAAGTAATGTGGGAAATTGTTCTATAGTTTAGATACTTGTTTTTCTGGTCTGGATCCAAGTAAAACGCTGGCTCCCTACCGTACTCCTATTGCAACTCTATACGCCAGTAGTGAATAGATACTGTTCTGCCAACTATTGCCTGAATTGTTTCTGCCAGCTATGAAGCAGAAATAATGATTTCAATCTTCCTTACGGTGGCTCGCAGGTGTGAGCAGTCGGTCGTTCACCTGTCACTGCGTTCCTGCGCGTATGATTTACATTCAACAGTTGCCAAGCCGCACCATCACTGCGCGACATACTGCTCTTGTTACCCACTACACTTACTACACACGTATGTGCCGTAGCGAGAGTAACGACTTGTCTCTCGCTGTCGCAGTTCATCAGGTGTCCAATCGGCACCCAGGGGTCACTCTCGTGACCTCTTTAGTGTTACGAGCTGACGTAAGGTCGTTGCCTAGATGGATGGTCACGTTAGAGGACAACAGTGGCCGTGTCCACTCTACTCGCGGTATAGTAAGCAATTGTTACGTGCAAGTCGGCAATCTTTTCTGGCGTGATGTGCGTACTGTCGCGACAAGTTATAGCGATGGGAGGTGCTGAGATTAGGTGGGAGAGCCATCCCGATCAAAGTCACCTGAGTGTGATCTAGTGCAAAGAAGAGCTGTTAGCCAGTCGTAGTGGCTCGCGCAGTCGTTAATGGCTCAATTAGTGGTGCGAACATGTATCTTGGGCCAACAATTAGGCGAAGTTAGCCACTTGGAAGCAAGTTCTCAACGCAAACCATTAATTTGAACACGGAAAAGTGGCAAATTTTTGGTCGCCACGGTGATGCATGAGTGCTGGCTCGCGGGGTACATGCGCGGTCGGCGCGGCGCCGCCCTGGAGACAGACGCTCAAACTAGTTTTCGCACGTGTAATTGCCGCCGTAATGATGGCCCGGCGATTACATCACTGCTAGTTTTCGCCGGTTCGGCTTCGCTGCATCGCTGTTTTGCGTTAGCCGGCAATCATGAAGAAAACCTTGTTGTACCGTAACGCAGTCGACTTTATTCTTCGCGGGTGCTATGTCAGGTAGAATGATCGTGACCGGGGGGGGGGGGGAGGCAAACAGCGGCCGAGCCAATTCCGTTCTAACATGAGACTTCAGGTTATATCTACGAGACGTATTCCTGCTGCGCGTGATACTCATGTGCAGTGATGGTCGCGTCGGCTTTTGAAGGAGCAATCAAATGAGTGGCGTGCAAGCGGCGCTGAGCTGGCGGTCTATTCACCATCACGTGTTCTTTCATTTTGCAGAATTGCCGTATGGTTGGGAGAAAGTGATCGATCCGACGTTCGGCGAATACTACATAGAGTAAGGCGATTTCTCACGGCTGTATTTATTATGTTAGAGCGAAAGCTGGGGCTTAGCCTGTCGTTGGGGCTTGACAGTATTGTGTGGCTGGCTACTAGCCGTAGATGTAAAGCAGCAAGGTTTAGTGCGCAGTGTGGAAATTCACATGCAATTACGTGCAGGTTTTGTGGATGTCTGACATGACTCTAGGCTTAGACTAGACGTAGCTTTAGAGTATTAACATTGCAACTCTCTCAGACTCTGTAAAGATTAATTCATGGTATGACTGTGCAAGATTTACGAACGAGTGCAGCCGTGTGTAAAAGGGGATGAGTAGTTTACATCAGTGAGTAGGTGTATATAATCAAGAGTGAATAATAGAGATCTCTATTATTCACTCCTGATATAATCAAAGACAGTTGTATGTAATGGTACATACAAAATACAATGGCAGCTACAGTGCTTCTGTGTGAGGCAGGGTGAGAGTTGGGATGAAAGTGATATCCGGTGTAGGTTAATCATGCAACACTGAGAATGCCCGTGGATGTGGCCTTGTTACGGACGCAGTGTGACCGCCATATCCTCTTTCCTGTGTATTGTAATGCAAATGAAAGTGAGTAAAAGCAACGCAGCGGCTGCCGTGACGCTGAATTAAAGCTATCTCATCTTTATCCAGGGGCGGATCCAGAGGGGGGGTCGAGGGGGTCCGGACCCCCCCTTTTTACCCCAAAAAAAGGGAAAAAAGCATAAACGCACGCACGCGCGCGCACACACACACACACACACACACACACACACACACACACACACACACACACACCTCTTATATTGTCTCCATAAAAAAAATCCTCAAAGCCTAGTAGATTTTTACAGCATATAGAAGTTGCGTCTTGCACAAGTCTACTAGAATGTTTATATATATATGTGTGTGCGTGTGCGTGTGCATGGGCAATATCAGGAGCTAATAATGACAAATTTATTTCATTATTAGCTCCTGGAAATATGTACGCACACACACAGATACTGATGTACGTACCTTGTTGGTTGGCTGAAATTTCATCTAATGTGTGTGTGCATGTGTATGCAAATACGTAACCCTATATAATGTCATACGTCAGATATATCTGATCAGTTGCATCTGATCATCGCAATCTTGAGTCTATAAACTGTAGTGTTATGAGCCCTCGATGGAATCTCGGAGGCCATAAATCTGGTGATGACGTGCCGCATGTGAGTAACGGTATGTATATGCTTCTAGCCACATTAACCGCAGGACTCAGTACGAGAACCCCGTGCAGCAGGCAAAGACCGACAGCTACCAGAAGTCTCCCTCCTCCTCCACGCTCCCGCGCGCAAAGAAGACGCAGGGCAGCGATGACGAGGGGGCGCCACCGAGGAGGGCACAGAGCGTGAGCGCCGTCAACGGTCCAGGTAGGTTGCGCGAGGCATTCCTTCGCTGCGTCAATCACACTCCCCTCCCCTCCCCCCACCACCGCGGCTCCATCCCCACCTCCTGCTGCTGCGCCCCCAACATGCGGCGATAGGATCTACGGAGAAGTATTTCTCACATGGAAAGTAGGCGATGTTACGGCGGTGTGTTGAAGTGTAGCTGCAGCACCAGCCGGTGGGCATTGTTATAACTACCATCGTAAAGCTAGGGTGAAAGTCGGGGGCCTGTTGTCAGAAGCAAAATTAGTCTTAACATTAAGTAGGAGACTAGTAATTTTAGCCTTAGCTTTTTAAATTAAACACAGGACCATGGGGAGCCTTGCTGTTGATATTACAATACGAGATGAGCATTGTCATCACGTCGTGTACTATTGTGTCTGTGTGTTGTGATTACATTGATGAGCAAATCACAAAATAACTTAACAATCACCAATGTTTGCTTTGATGCACTAGCAGAAGCAAGGTACCGGTATGCTCACAAAGATTTTGTTACGAAGATAAAGATAAATACCTAATGTAGATAAAACAAATAGTCTCAGTGTCGATGACATTTTTGTGTAACATGGTTCTTTTATAAGAGTCTGTGATGTGTTGGTTCTAAAATTGGGATATAATCAGCTAAGATTTAGAATTATTCCAGAGAATTTGCTGACAGTGACAGTGGATTAGAGTATAGCGGTTCAGACGGTTTGTAAACGTAGGCACATTATTCTAGGCTCTGACAACAACCCTTCCTTCTAAGCCCTAACAACCCTTGTCTAATGTGTTTGCAAGTTGATTTCTGCGTTCTGTGCCATACTAGAGCTCATAGGGTCTATGTCCCCCAGGGTACTGCCGGAACGTACCCTGGGTACGGTCCGGTATACCGGAACGTACCCTGGTAACTATTTGATATGGTAAATTAGGGTTAGGGTTAGGGAGTAGGCGTAGGCGACTCCCTAGACTCGTTAGTGGAGTAGGCGGGTACGGTCCGGCATATTAGATAGTACCAGGGTACGTTCCGGCAGTACCCTGGGGGGCATAGACCCTCTCAGCCATACTAGAGACATAATAGTTGAACAAACTACAATTACTGCTAACACCGACACGCATTTCATTCGTGGACTTACCGGAAATTGTACAGTGTAAAATGCGCGTGCTCATGCACGCACGGCTTTCACAAATTACACGCACCATTTCGTGCACGGGTGTGTTCCGAGAAGTACCACCCCAGTCTGCGTGGAAGTCTCAACTGTCTCATCAGAATCTACCATGGTTAGCACGTAGAGAAAACCTCCACTACCTGTTATCTCTCTACTGTAAGTACTGCAGCGCAGCAGCCAGCCAATAAGGAAGCGACATAATTTTGTTGGGCGGGTCTCGTGGGGGTTATTTAAAGTTGCATTTGGCCGCAGGCGTGAATAAGAATAAGCGCACCGTCTAACCGTCTGTTTTTTGTACTGAGGTAGTTAAGCATTTTGTAGTAGGTGCTGGGTTCTCAGCAGGGGTGCAGACAACGAGGGTTGGGGTGCGGGCAGTTTGCAATAAATAGGTCATTGAGTGAACGTTTTGTTCGTGTGGACTTGACTTGCCGAGACCCTGCTGTAGGTACATTAATGGTTTTGGGATTAATATTGTTCTTGCGAAACTTTTTAGAGGTTACTTTTTGCCTTCAGGCCGTGCAGGGGGTAGCTCAAGAAGACTGCTGCTTTCTAGTAACTGGGTAGGGTTGGTTAGCTGGATAGAGGTTGGTTAGTTGGATAGAGGTTGGGGTGAGTTTGAATGTGAACGAATCAAGAGGATCAGTACGAAATAAAAGAAATGATAAAATAGTCCCGATTGTCATCATGATGATTCTTGATTTTCTGGTAAAGTCGGTTACGAATTGAAACGTATATTGTGAGTGGCGAATTTTCTCTCATTCTCTTGGTGAAAAAAACTGACAAAAGGTTAGCGGGAGTAATTTTTAGGTGGGATTTACATGCTTGCGTTTCCCTTCATGCAGGCATCCCCCCTGATATATACATGAAGAGTCCATAATAGAAAACTTAGAAAAAATCTCTATTATGGACTCTTGATAAGATCATTAATTTCTAATTAACTATATTTTTGTACCACGTCTGCTGCTTTTACCAATTAATCAGCCAGCGGTTCCTGAAATAGGAAGCTCATGTTGGCTACCACAAAGAGGTCACTTGTTCGATTCTGCATGTGCGCTGGTGCTTCGTATCTGCGCTGCGTCACTGCGCATTCCCCCGGCTCGTTAGATATGGCTGTATTTCTTCGTTACGTGTATCATTACCTGTGCTTTGTTAACGTGCCGGCGTCTCGTTGCGCGTACCTGCATCGCTCTGTTAGCTGGGAGCGTCCCGTAGTGCGCGTCTTCGTCGTGTGTGAATGTCAGGTACGCTGGCAGCCGAGCATGAAGCTGCGGGCGCCTCGGGGCAGCAGCTTACGCTTGCTTGCGCCGCACACACAGACAATGCCAGCGAAGCGACGACCACGCAACGGCTGTGCATGCCGACAGCTCCGGCTGCTCTCGCACGCACGGCACAGCACAGCACGCACACACGCACGCACGGCACGCACACAACACACCGTGACACGCCTTGCACACACCGCACACACGCCACACAACACACACACACACACACACACACACACACACACGCACACAACACACACACGCCTCTGTGTACCCTGAGACGACAGGCCCCATGTTTCTCTCAACGGTCTACTGTCAACTCAGGGTTCTCCAAGCTTTTTCATTATAGCATGGCGGGTGCTGCCTTTACGGTCCTAGTTGCAAATCGCCGAAGGCGGTTTGCGTGCTAGGGGGGTCTGTGGGCTATGATATTTAGCATGGCGGCTATGATATTAAGAGTGGCGGATGCATTTTAGCATGACGGGGCTCGCCGATAGCCTGGCGGGCCGCCAGGCTATAAGTGCCCTTGGAGAACCCTGCTGAACTATAAGAAAAGTTCATGTTAAGACTAATGTTATGACTCATTTTATTTCTGACGGCAGGCCTCAGATCATTAATGATTGTATTATGAACAGCCTATCAGGGTTCTCCAAGCTTTTTCATTATAGCATGGCGGGTGCTGCCTTTACGGTCCTAGTTGCAAATCGCCGAAGGCGGTTTGCGTGCTAGCGGCGTCTGGGGGCTATGATATTTAGCATGGCGGCTATGCTATTTAGAGTGGCGGGTGCATTTTAGAATGGCGGGGCTCGACGATAGCCTGGTGCGCCGCCAGGCTGTAAGTGCTCTTGGAGAACCCTGCCTATTAAGAGGGGCTATGGGTGGAGTGAATTGACGTGATGTTAGTTATTGTATTGTTAAACGCACATATCCATACAAAATTATCACAAGAGCAGTAAGCTATTCTCAAGTGCATGTTTATCTATTGCATGTGATGGCTGTGCTACAAGTTATTGATTGCGCCTATTATTATATGCACGGCATTATATTGATACAAGTATGCAAGAATGCCAGATGTCCCGGTCTGTTTTAAAAGGAATGTCCTCGTCGTCATCTAAAACCCGTATGTGCTGCTGTTTGTGTAAATAAGCAGTGACCCACATGACCTGGCTGAAACCTACTTCATCAGTGGCCAGCCGAGATAGTCCATGCTGTTCATGTCTCGCGTGATCAGTCTTGGCTTTAAAAAATTATCTGTCTTTCTGCAATGGATGGCTGTCTCGTATAAAAACAATACGGACACTGAGCCTTAATCCTCGATCAGATCTAGTACTGCGTTCTCTAGCTATAATGTCTATGCTGTGCATCTCCTCGTGTTCTCTTATGATGTTGCTTCTTACGTCCTGGGTTAATAATAAAAGTACACACATTCTAGGGCACTATCTATCTCGTCTTTTATTCCACGAATTAAGTCATTCCCTTTCATCTTCACATCGGTTTTGAAGTAATTGCCACGTTAGTCCATTTTCTATTGCTCGATGTTGTCAACGCCATTGTAACTACCGTCATGGTGGCGGGTGTCATTCATTCCATTTCTTTCCTAATCCCACACGGCTTAGTAAATCACGCGTTACTGATTCGGCTTAACCGTTTTCTTGTAATCTCGCGCGTTGGTCGTCGTCGTTGCTGTGGTATTCACCGCTTCGTTCACCGCCGTCAGGGTGCGAAATTAACGCGAGTCCGGAGTCAAATACTCCCTGATTTACTGTCGGGCTCCCTGATTTGACATATGCAGGAGTCCGTGTGACTCAAAGCTTTTTTCAGCAAATTTTTAATTTTGAACTTCAGACTAAGGACTCCCTCATTTTGCTGCGGACTCCCTCTTTTTGAGGGCAGGGAGTCCGTTGGACTCCCTTGTTCAAAAGTTCAAAAGATACCCCTGCTCACAGTATCAGGTAGTGCTCACAGTATTTTTTCAGCAAATCTCTAATTTTCTGTTGGACTCGCTGCCCTCAAACGTTAATTTCTACGCGGTCGTTGCAGCGTCGCCGCGCGTGTTCTTCACGCGTGACCCGGCTGAGCTGCAGGGCGAGATGATCAACACCAGCCTCGTGAAGAGCTCGCGCGGGTTTGGCTTCACGATCGTCGGTGGCGACGAGCAGAACGACGAATTCCTGCAGATCAAGAACGTCGTTCCCGACGGGCCGGCCGACATCGACGGCAAGCTGAGAACAGGTACGCTGACGGTAGCGATGACTCCTTCTTCATCTTCTTCTTCTTCTCGGGTTACTACACTACTCTCGGCCCAGCCACTGCAGCACACAGGACCTGGCACGGTGGTTGAAAGCGTCAAGGTCTCCAGGGCTACACGGTTCTGGTAATAGGGGGCATTCCAGGAGATGTCCCATAGTCTGGTCCTCCCCGCAGTCACATTCGGTTGGGCCATCTTCAGTGTATCCCCATTTCTGCATGAGTGCCCTGTATCAACCAAAACCTGTCCTGAGGCGATTTAGGCATAACCACGTCGGCCATACATTGTTGTTTCCGGGGGGGCTTCTCCCTCATATGAATTCATATTTATTTTGTGATAAATCCAAGAAATGAACTTAATATCGAAATTTTCGATAGTAAGTTCATTTCTTGGATTTAACACAAGATAAATATGAAGTCATAGTTTCAACGAAATCCAATGAACTTATTTCATTCATTTTCCTCCCTCATAGTTTGTCTGTAATAGTGTCTTCGGTCAATAGTATAACACAGGATGTACAGCAGTTGTAAACATCTAAGTGTACTACTAAGTATGCACAACTAGGTAAACAACTTGATAGTTGTAGCTGGCATTCTGTCGTTCTGTAAAGACGGCCAATTAGTAAGATTGAAGATGAAGGCAATACTCAGTCCTCAAACCTGGGCACAGTTTTAGATGTCTTTACGCATTTACCACACATCACATCGGCTGTAAGCAGTCGCCCTTGTGCAATTAGCTTGCGTTAGCAATGTTTTAAATTAACGTCCTTGCAGTATAAATTTTTGCCATGAGCCAGCAGAAAATCGATTAACTTGACATTTATTTGCAATTTGACAACAAAACGTTGTTTAAAACTAGCAGGATTTATTAGTGCTTGCAGTCCGCTGCTGCATTTACGAACTGCTGCTGTTGCTGCCTTGTTTTGCTGCTGCCTCCGCCGCTGCTGTTGCATCTATGAACCTCTGCTGCTGCGAGGTGACTGCGTTAACTCGGCTGTCTTGCCGTGCACAGGTGACGTGCTGGTCTACCTGGACGACCACTGCGTGCTCGGATTCACCCACACCGACGTCGTCTCCATCTTCAAGACGATCGCGGTCAACCAGAGCATCCACCTGATGGCGTGCCGCGGATACTCGCTGCCCTTTGACCCGAGCGATCCGAACACGGAGATCGTTACGACTGTCGCCGTGACGTCGTCGAAGTCGCCAGCCGACGCTGGTCATCGCCGCGTGAACGGTGGCGCCCCCTTGACGCCGCCCACCGCCGCAGCACCGCCAGAGTTCCTCAACATGTACATCCGCAAGGGTGAGATGGGATTCGGTTTCACGATTGCCGACAGTGCGTATGGCCAGAAGGTAATAGTAGTGTTGATAGTGTGTTATATGTATTTATTCAGTTCGTAGTTATATTATTTTTGATAACAATGTTTTTATTATATTTATAAACAATATAAATAAATTCTATCACATTCTTTACATCACGAAAGAATCTAAACAAAGAGAAAACTTTACGACAATGCCCGCCCACTTCAAATTATAAACAAATTTAAAAACAAACTGCAAATTTACATCTGTTGTAATTCCTAAAAGAAAAACTGTCGAGGAAAAAAATCTCGAAAAGATGTCGTGGGTGTAATTAATAGTTGCGTGTGATATGCTGCAGTGTGAAATGAACGCAAGTCCGGAGTCAATTACTCCCTGATTTACTGTCGACTCCCTGATTTGACATATGCAGGAGTCCCTGTGACTCCCTGAAAATTTTGCTATGCTAACTAGTTCGTTCGAGAGCACAGCCTCGCGGAATTACCATGTTTTTTTTTTAGCAAATGACCCAAGAAAATTTGGCAGACGTACACCGCAAATGTCCTTTTTGTTCATATCTGCGGTACTACTTGTATGCTACGGACTCGCTTGTTCAAAGAGGAGTTGGACTCGCTTGTTCAAAAGTTAATTTCTACCCCTGGTGCTGTGTTCAGGTGAAGAAGATCATAGACCGGGCGCGCTGCCGCGACCTTGAGGAGGGCGACATTCTCGTGCAGATCGGCAGCGTGGACGTGCGCGACGGCTCGCACGCGGACGTCGTGCACGCGCTCAAGGCCTGCCCGAAGAACCACGAGTCCCTCATCGTCGTGCAGCGCCGCCTACCCGCCGCCGCCGCGCTCACCCCGGCCACGCCCCCTCCTAACGGCTTCTCGACGCCGAAGACCGACAGCCTGCTAGAGGGCGCTCACGGACCGGGGACTCCGTCGCGCACGCACGAGGCGCGCCCGGGTGTGCGGGCAGCGGCCGACGACAGCGGCGGTAAGAGGGGGTACGCGGCGGCGGCGGCGGCGGACGAGGGGAGGAAGCAGTCGGAGTACGGAGCCGGGTACGCGGCGGACGACCCGCAGCGGCTGTCGTCGACCGCTACGCCGACGAATGACTTCAACACGCGAGACTTTGTGCCGGCGTCTTACTACACGGAGACGCCACCCAGGGGCAGCCAGCAGATGTCACGCAGCTACGAACGTGGGTAGCACGAGTGTTGAACCTACCGATCTTACACTGAGATTAACTGTGGTGTTGACTCTGATTAAACTCTTCGAAAAAAATGGTTTTAGTGTAAATGTTTGTGAACGAGTGCATTTCAGCGTGAACTCCTTCGTTGACTTTGAATTGGGTGAAGCGTCTAGTGAAGGTTTTACCGCAAACATTAATCTTGCTAGTAGTGTTGAGGTGAGATCGGTGTTGCTTCTCGTTTCCAGTGCCGCCTGACCAGCATCCCTACAGCTCCTCCCTGTCGCCACACAACCCCGACTACGGTATCCACGGCAACGGCCGGCAGCAGTCGCCGGGGCCGAGCCCTTCGCTGAACGGGCAGTCGGGAGCGAGCTCGCTGTACACGACCAGTCCCAGCCACCAGCCAGTGCACTCCACCTACTTCAACAGTCAGTCGTCATACGAGCACGAGCCGGGGCCAGGCGGCGGCGGCGGAAGCGGAAGTTACGAGGGCCGGGAATCGTGTGGCGATTACGACGAGTACAGCGTGACGCTGCATCGCATGGAGACAGGGTTTGGTTTCCGCATCGTGGGCGGCGTGGAGGAAGGCTCGCAGGTACGCTTGCAGGGTCGCTGCGCTAGCTGCTCCCGCTATTCCTCATTACGCTATTTGCGTGAGATTGGTCACGTTGCCTTGCCTCGTGTTGTTTACACGCTGTTGTTGTGTCTTGAACGTCCCGCGAAAGTCGTTACACTCTGTGTTATATCCGTAGAGCGATATATGGCATCCATGACGTCATTCTTGTTACAGTTGGTTTAAGTAAAGCGATTTAATTCCATTTTTCAATTGTGTCTGATGCAGGTTGCCGTAGGAACGATTGTGCCCGGTGGTGCTGCGGATATTCATGGGAGGCTGAGGATGGGTGATGAGATTCTGTATGTGGATGGACACAGCGTTGCCGGAGCGTCGCATCACACTGTTGTTCAGCTGATGGGAAATGCATCCAATGCAGGCCGAGTCACTGTTACCGTCAGACGAAGAAAGCCAGGTAGCAACATGTATAAATACACACCATGTGTACATACTTGAGAAAGTGTGGAATATAGAGCTGTAATCCGCTAAGTTGGCGAATGCTAAAATAACTGACGCATGTGTGATTTTGAAAGTGAGTATGAGAAGTGTGTATAGCCACAGCCTTACCACAAAATTCATGTTACTTTATCTGATTTCACTGCACATATATGCAGATGATTTTCGATTTATTGCAATGAATTCAGTGTGATTTTTGCAGTAAAGTTACGTACTTATAAATGAGACACGGTGTCAGTTATTCTAGTGCGGTGTTAGATAGCCACACTCTGCCCTTGATACATTATGCATTATGTACACAGTTCCAGTAACTGCAATTTTGTAATACACCGTTTCTAAACGGAGACTCGCTATCAACCATTCTAACCATAAAGCATACACACTAGCCAGTTTTTAACATGTTATGTCTTGTACACGTACACATTCTAGCTAACAAACTTGTGCAACGAGAGCAGGTAAAGAGTTCGATTACTTTCTAAAATACATTCTTAATATTTATACCTGATTTATATGTTATGTCAATATGAGTGCTGTGTGGGATTAGTCTTGGTGTAGCTGTGCAGGCCCGTAGCCAGGGGGCGTTCGGGGGTGTGTGCACGAACCCTCCCCCCCCCAAGCCCCCTCCTGATCAAAAAATCAAATAAAAAATTTTCTATTTGAAAATTTGCAAGAATTCCACTTCAGGTATGCACCAGATCGCTCCATTTTAGTGTAATAATTCGCAAAATCTCCCACCCTCCCCCTGCTCGGTCGCTATGCACCCTCGCTCGGTCACTTCGTGCCCTCACAAATTTCCATCATTTAAAAACGAACCCCCCCCCCTAATATAAAGCCAAGGGCTGTGTGTGCGTGCTTGCGTGTGCGTGCGTTGGGCCACCCTTAAAAATTGTTTGTTTCCCCTTTACCTACTCGCCTCTCAGGGTACCGAGTAGGTAGGTAGGTGAAAAATCTTTTGTATTTTGTTTTGACAAGATGTGTGTATGTATATTGTACATTCTGTTTTGTGTATATGTTTTTGCGGAACGAATTTGATTTTTTTTTGGGCGAAACGAAAAAATTTTTGTTTTGTTTTAATCGGCCAATAAAATGTGTCGAGTAGCGGCGTTTTGGCGAGTCGGTCGGTAAAGGGGAAACAAGCAATATTTTATCTTAGGCCTTGTCTAATGTCGCGTGCATCGCATCGTTTGTAGATGCTGACGTGGAGGTGGACTACCCGTACGACGTGACGGTCGTGCGACGTGACAACGAGGGATTCGGATTCGTCATCATCTCCTCTGTCGTCCATCATGGCTCCACCATAGGTACGCTTGCCACCCCCTGCGATATGTGAACGCCAGATCAGTGGATAAGGGTAGATGTACAGCAGTGTTAGAAATAAGGGAAAAAATTTGCTTGTTCTGATTAATAATATAGAAATATAGTAAATGTGTAATACATTTAATCAAATTAAATTTTAGACCCAATATCTTACTTTGTAATTTTAATACAGTTCATAGCAGTTCAAATCCGGCACCAAACATGAAAGAACATAAAGAAGAAAAATTGCTCAAAAAAGTTGCTATAAAAAGCTGCTTGTCTAGCGGCCAAGCTACTGGAAATGTCTACTTGTCCTCCGCGGAAATGGACAAGTGAGGACAAACGGATAGCCCTTATTTCAAAACACTGCTGTACATAGCATGGACATGGTGCAGCCCTTATTTCAAAACACTGCTGTACATAGCATGGACATGGTGCAGCCCTTATTTCAAAACACTGCTGTACATAGCATAGACATGGTGCAGCGTGCTGCGTCTCTGCCACATTATTGACTTTGTCTGAGTTGATCGGTTTAAAGATTAGTTAGAAAAAAAAAAAATTTAGAGGTCATCATTAGCAGGTGAGCTGCAAGGACGCTGCAAGCCTTGTGTTTCGCCTCGTCATTTTGTCGTTTGCGTTGCACAGGTCGGTTGATAGAGGGCAGCCCTGCAGAGCGTTGCGGACGGCTGGGATTGGGCGACCGAATATTGGCTGTCAACGGCGTCAACATTGTCAATCTGCAGCACGGTGACGTCGTCAAACTGATCAAGGACTCGGGACTGCGGGTGACGCTCACTGTGGGGGCGCCGCTGGCCGACGACGAATGTCACACGAGCAACATGATACAGCAGGTGTGTGAGCATTGGTGTAGCCGCGCGGGTTGCTCATGCTGCGAGTCACGTGTAACAGTCGCGTGGGTAGATGATGTTCACACGCACATCAGTTCAGCGAGGACCAGTAGAATTGCGACCACTTAACAACACTAACAGATGCCAAAAATATTCGTCTCTGTTTACTAACAGTCCCCTATGGATATAACTAGCTCTTCTTTTCTCTCTGTCTAGCTCTCTAGAAGTTCTTCTATGGTAACTGAACGGGCATTTCCCACACACCGTAAGAAAAAACCAAGTTTAGATAGCTTTAGCAACTCACAGACAGTACAGAGGCATTCCTCCGGTAGCTCCCCGAGAGAGCTAATGAAAAACAGAAGAGACCTGCAGCACCAAACTTCTCCTGGTCCCCAAGGGGAGACACTGTATGACAGACCTGTGATGGGGCTGCCGTACAGTTCATCACAGGTATAGACAGGGAGATGTAACGTATTATCTTCGCAAAATGTGCGTGGTTAGCTGCAGTTCTTGATTCGATTTGGGAATTTTCTTTGTGTGTTGCTTGTTATTGTGTGAGAGGCTCTCATCATGTTTAAGTAATGTAATTTAGAGACGATTAACATACTAGTTGCAATTTCGCCTATGTTTGACGATTTTTGGCTGATGTTGGTGTTGTGATTGGTTTATGCTATGGTTTATGTCGGGTGGTTTGTTGATTTCGAATGCCTAGCATTTCCTCAATTTGCGTTGAAAGCTATTTGCTAAGCGATTGTGCATTATATAATACTTGTGTCCGGATTGTTCCAGCTATGTTTGTCTTTCTTTGTGGGGTTTTCTATGTGAAGTAGAATCTCCCAACGACCTCTGTCGATTGCATCTTCAGCATATATCATCTTGCATGTTATTGTGTCTATTTTTGTTTAATCATAAGAAATAACAGATTGAAATGATAGCAGTAGTAAAGCCAGCATTTGGAACATGTAGAGTATGAGATACACGTCTGATTTACCACCGTTTTCCCCTCGTTTGTATCACACATCTCGTTTGCTCGATCCTGCACTGTCTCATCACGCGGAACCACCGAGCGACTAACCTCGTGTAGACTGACAGTCTCTGCCCGTTGCAGCCTTCTCCCCACCAGGAGGCGCCTCCCCCGATGAAGCCGGCGCGCTCGCACTCCCCGGCGTCGCGCTCACCGCCGCCGCCGCCGCCGCCGCCCGCCGCCGCCGACCAGTACCACGCCGTCGAGCTGCGACGCGGCACGCGCGGATTCGGTTTCAGCATCCGTGGCGGCGCTGAGTTTGGCAACATGCCGCTGTTTGTCCTGCGCATCGCTGACAGCGGGCCGGCGCATGCCGACGGACGGATAAAGGTGAGCGGTGGCCCGCCGCGGCAGAGCGGAGTTAGCTAGAGGCATCGTCGCTTACCCTGTGATTGCTGTCAGACCTGCGCTAATGGTGTCTCTGTAGAGTGAACACCTGTTTAAAAGAGGGAAATTTTGGCATTTCTGTTGAGTGGCAGTTACACAGTGAAACTACATATAGAATGAAAACGTGTGTATTGAAGTCACTTTTTTGGTATTTCCCGTGGGTATCAGCTATACAGTGGAACCACCTTCATACATAAAGGTCACCTTCGGCATAACCCTCTAGTGATCCTTGTGTACAGATTTGCCGGAAGCTGTAATTAATATTTGTTCAGTTTCAACACGACATCGTCCCTAGCTCCAGGGAACGGCCGCCTATTAAAGGACCGTGCACAGACACGTCCGGCCTCACACTTGCTCTGCGATTACCACTGTCACTGACCCAGTCCTCCTACATCACGATCATGCGTTGTCTGCTGCGAGGTCATCACGTCAAGTCACTTTGGTTGTGTCGTTGCAGGTTGGGGATGAGATTATCGAGATCAACTCGCACAACACGAAGGGTATGAGTCACGCTCAGGCGATCGAGCTCATCAAGCAGGGAGGACAGCTGGTGAGGCTGCTGGTACGGCGCACCGGTGTCGTCCCGCCCGCCCTCGGTGAGTAACGTACCTACACGCCTTACCCATCACTTATTATATGTATTGTATGTGCGTGCGTACTTATACTCCTGATCCGTCACTTATTATATGTGTTGTATGTGCGTGCGTACCTATGCTCCTGATCCGTCACTTATTATATGTGTTGTATGTGCGTGCGTGCCTATACTCCTGATCCGTCACTTATTATATGTGTTGTATGTGCGTGCGTGCGTGCCTATACTCCTGATCCGTCACTTATTATATGTGTTGTATGTGCGTGCGTGTATATGCCACTGATCCTGACATCGGGTGCAATCTTCTTTCTGTCCTATTTGCTCTAGGAGAGAAATATCTCCTTTAAAGAAATGGAGACATTATTACTGGAGTCTTTTCTTAGTAATTTTTCCCATGCAAGCTTACTTATTTGCCTGACCCGTGAAAAATTGAGGTGTCTTGAAATTCTCATGTACAGTATAGCCCCGTTATAACGCGATGGTTGGGGTCCATAAAATGTCATTGTGAAAAAAGCGGGATCGCACTAACTGACTAAATCGGGTCTATTTATATGTGGATATATTAGAGCAAAAAATGTGGTCCAACGACTCATCGCGTTATATCCGTTTTCACGTTAAATCGGGGCGCGTAAAATCGGAGCTCCACTATATTACCAATGCTCGTGACAGCCACCAGCGAAGTCAAGGCACAGAGTAATTGATGGTATTTTGATGGAATCCTTATATACTGTCTCTACCAGAGCAAGGACTTCCCTCTCCACTGGACGCAAGGTTGTCCTCGCAAGCTGGACCGCTCAGCCACAGCTCCCCCAACATTGCCAAAGGTGGGAGCCAGGACAACTACCCCCAGGACGCTTCACGCGGCCACCACCAGCAGCCCATGGTGGAGCAGTTCCAGCAGATGAACGTCGGCGGCGGCGGCGACAGTGGCGGACATCTACCGTCCTCGCATACGTACCCCGACGCACAGGGCAGGATGTGGCTGAACGACGGCAGTGCCTACCCGCGGCACGATGAGCCTGACAGCTACCCGCAGTACGCCGACGCCGCCCGCTACCCTCACCACCCTCACGCTGACACCGACGCGGACCACTACCCGCAGCGGCCGTACGTGCAGCACGGTGCGGCCGATGCCGCCGGCAGGTACCGCGGTCAGGCGACCGACGGCAGCAGTCAGCAGGCGGGCGATGCGCGCTCGCCGCCCTACAGGGGCCAGATGGGGTACGTGTACAACGAGAACCTGGCGAACGAGCAGCGCACGCATGGCCGCGCCCCCGTGCGGCAGAGTCGGCCGGAGCAGCACGGCAGCCCGCTGGACGCGCCGCACGATGGCTACCGCCACCAGGTGGCGCACGCGTACAACGGCGAGCAGGGCGGCGGCACGATGCAGGCGGAATATGCGGCACCTCCCTACGCGCATTCGGGCGTCGACGCCGATTTCCCCCCTGCACATTACCAGTACAGACCGACAGGCAGGGCCGTGCCCAGCTACGGGACATAGCCAGGAGTCTGTGTACAATAACATCATTGTCCCATCACTGCAAAGCTAAAGATGAGACCACCAGGCCGTCATATTGGCGAGCAGGAATCTGTTTTAAGCGTATTAATTTAATGAAGTGCGTTTAATTAAACAGTGTCCAACTTCCTCTGCTTAGATCTCTACCTTTGTGCCAATCAATATGTTGGCCAAGTGACGTCACATAATTCCCATAGTGCACTATCCATTTCTAAGATATAGATCATGTATAGTAGCGGCGATGTGGTGCGAAGATGTTCACCTCTGTTGGGGAGTGGCGTTGTGCAGCGCCTGTTGGGAAGCATACGCCTGCATCCACGGCGGACCTGATCTCTGAGGCATCGTGTTGCAAGTGATCGTTTCTGTTTGTTTTACCCCGGCAGTGGTCGTGGATATGTGTGTGTAGTTGATTGGTTTAGAATCTGAGGGTGACTTCACTGACTGAGTCATGTAAAGACCATCTCGTTCCTTTAGGAAAAACTAGAACTCTATGCAGTGTCATCCTGTAAAGCATTTCATTAATAAATTACAGCTAAAATTTGATGTTACGTTCAAGTCAGAAGAGCTGTGTGCTAGTTTTTGGGAAGTTCCAGTCAGTTCCAATAGTACTGTGCAATTGTTTAATGTATATCTGAAGCCAGAAGTCCAGCTAGTGCTAATTCTATTCTTGTTTTTACAGTAAATCTAAAGGTTGTGACTAAACATTCCCCTTGTAAATACGTGTGAAATTAACTGGAGTGAAAGAGAAAAATGTATATTTTTAATGACTGCATATCAACTTTTAATTAATAATCATTGTTTAACTGTAATCTGTGTGTATAGTCGTTTATGGTCGTTTTTTAGTGTAGCTCGGCAGCTAATTATTATTCCCCATGTCGATTTTTTTTAAATCTGAGTTGTGGCATAATCGAATGTGGATGCTATGCAATGTCTGCACATGGCTTTTAATTCTGCTCAAGCGTTCACTGCAGCAATCGTGGAATATTGCTTGTTATCCTCCTGTGTGTGTTTTCCGAGTGGCAGATAATTAAGGTGATTCAATGTTACGTTAACAAGAATTGGCACAGCATTCCAATCGTAAGACTGCAAGTTATGTGCGTTGTTATTCCCTTTGTGAAGTATAACGGTAAGTGATCGGCGACATCAAAGCAGACGTAAAAATACGATGCTAGGGAGAAATAAATTTGCCTTTTAATTACAATGTAACTGTGAAGTTGTGTTGCGTTTTAAAACATTCCAATTGAAGCAACCGTTTACCGTGCATCATTTTAATGGCATGATTCAACTCGTGCATCCCGCCGTAGACGATTTGATATTTTGAGTGTATATTATGAATATAGAATTTAGGCAGTTAATAACTGACAGCTTTAAAAATTGGTCAGTAACTAAACACAGGTTCATGGTTGTGTCATCCAATAATATATAACTGTGATTTTAAACTGTAAATATCCCGTTATATCTTGTAGCCACCTCCTTTATCACAGACAAATAACAGAAGAAACAAGATTCAGAAAACTTTCGGCATGAATTATATACTTTTGCGTGTAAAGTTGTGATTGTAAAGTAAATATTCTACTTTATTAAGTATTTTCAGTTACAATATGCAAATAGCAGTTTGCAAATCATGCTAATTGTCAAGTGTAATTAATAATTATGTACATGTATCTATCATGAAATGGCAGTGCTATGTTGAATATAGATGATAGTCTTGGTATATTTTTCACTCATATATTGCCTTTTAAGATGTTGAAACAATAAATACCTTTTCTATAGCACGTTTTATATTTTGACAATTTTATTATTTACAGGCCTGCAGTACCCTCCGGGAGACCTACACACATTATAGTGGGGAAATTAGAAATTATACAGTACTTGGGTTGACTTATGGAAACCATGAAAAAAGTATTCCCTCGTACCCAACCCTTCCTGCAATTAGCTGTTTGTCCTTGCTATTCCAATTGCGCCCACACGTTATATGTATTTTTGTTGTGTTATGGTTATATGTCATGTCGCCCAGAATTTCTGTAAACAAGAGCATACCGTTAGATCTGACAAGCCAAGACAACTAGCATCGAAGCACTGTTAATACATCACCAACTCCGCTGGGCTGGCCATGTTACCCGAATGCCTAGCCACAAACTTCCTAAGCAAGTCCTATATTCCCAGTTGCGACAAGGTGAACGCACGAGAGGAGGAGAAAGAAAGTGCTACAAGGATGTACTCAAACGCAACCTACAAAAGTGTAACATCGACCCTAGCACCTGGGAAACTTGCGCTTGATCGCCATCAATGAAGAACAAGTGCCGCAGAGCGACAGCGCTCATCTAACGTCTACTGCGGTGACTCTGTGGTGGAGTGGTGGGATTCTAGTAAACCCTGTTAGTCCCAAATGTGTTCACATACACGCCGAAACAGTGGAGTGCACAGGGGTGGTATCAGGAACCTTCTCAAAAGAATGTACGTTGAGATAGTTATGTAAGTT